AATACCATGGCTATATACAGGGAGGACCAGGTAATAACATGGCTATATACAGGGAGGACCAGGTAATACCATGGCTATATACAGGGAGGACCAGGTAATAACATGGCTATATACAGGGAGGACCAGGTAATACCATGGCTATATACAGGGAGGACCAGGTAATAACATGGCTATATACAGGGAGGACCAGGTAATACCATGGCTATATACAGGGAGGACCAGGTAATAACATGGCTATATACAGGGAGGACCAGGTAATAACATGGCTATATACAGGGAGGACCAGGTAATAACATGGCTATATACAGGGAGGACCAGGTAATAACATGGCTATATACAGGGAGTACCAGGTAATACCATGGCTATATACAGGGAGGACCAGGTAATAACATGGCTATATACAGGGAGGACCAGGTAATAACATGGCTATATACAGGGAGGACCAGGTAATAACATGGCTATATACAGGGAGTACCAGGTAATACCATGGCTATATACAGGGAGGACCAGGTAATAACATGGCTATATACAGGGAGGACCAGGTAATACCATGGCTATATACAGGGAGGACCAGGTAATAACATGGCTATATACAGGGAGGACCAGTACCGAGTCCATGTGCAGGGTATGAGGTCATTGAGGTAGATACAATATGTACATATACTGTAGGTAGTGGTAAAGTGACTAGGCAACGGGATAGATAATAGACAGTAGCAGCAGCGTGTGTGGTATCCGTATGCATGTATGTAGTGTGTGTGTGTGTGTGTGTGTGTGTTGGGGTGTAAGTATGTGTGAATGTGTGGAGAGTCCGTGCAAGAGAGTTAGTGGAAGAAAGGATCAATGCAGGTAGTCCGGATAGCCATTTTATTAGCTATTTAGATGTCTTGTTTAGCAGTGTCATGGCTTGGGGGTAGAAGCTGTTCAATTGTCCTGTTGGTTCCAGAGTTGGTGCATTGGTACCACTTGCTGTGTGGTAGCAGAGAGAACAGTCTATGGCTTGGATGGCTGGAGTCTTTGACAATTTTTTGGGCCTTCCTCTGACACTGCCAAGTATAGATGGCCGGGAGCTCGGCCCCAGTGATGTGCTGGGCCATACTTTTTGGGATGGAATAATTTGGATGATGATTTGGATGTTTGGGCAGAGTTCTGGCCCATGCTGATGTTCTCTCACTCTCTCTGTTCTGTCGGTTCCGCTCGGTTACACAGGGAAATGGAACGTTTCCCACATGCACACACACAACGGAATGTCCTGGCACTCAAGACTCACGTCGCCTAGCAGCTGCACTGGCAGGCAGGCAGCCAACGTGGTGTGTGTGTAGATGTGAGATTCTGTGTAGTTGTGTACTAGTGAATGTTGAAGTTCGTGAGTTGTTTTCAGGTGTGTGTGTTTGTGTGTGAGAAAATTGAAGTAAAATATATTGAGTTGCGTTCAGGTCTGTGTTGGTTGTGTGGTGTTGCTCAGGATGCTGTGTTTAAAAGTCTCCTCACATTATCGGTGGTTTTGACTAGATGGTATACAGCTACGGACGGAAGGGACTTTTTGTAGCAGGTTAGGAGAGCTTACAGCACATGCTCTGGTTAACCCACGTCTTAGTCTCCAGGGAGATGGTGACAGAGTGTGACAGTGTCCCGGGCCAGATACACCTCATGTACTCAATCTGGCCAGAGGGAAGAGAGGACAAGGAGTCTGCCTGTCACTCTTCAATCTCTCTTGTTCTCTTTCCATATCTATCTCTCTTTAATTCAGGCCAGGATTAAACCAACGGCACATTGTAGACAAGCTCATTTTACTGTGGACAATGCAGAGATTGCATTGGTTTGCGGAGATTGCATCCACAGTAAACACTGTAGATGTCGGCTCAACCGTAAACTACCTTTTAAAAGTCAAAAAACAATGCACTTGTCTACAACGCGCTTTCTTATTCTTGCATTCAGATCTCTTAAATCTCTACCTTTCTCTGTGTTGTGTAATAGACTGGTTAAGACTTGATCGTTCAATCACAAATACCAGACACCACCAAACCACAGACCTGAGCCGGCCTTGGGACTTAGTTAAGACCTGGAGAGGTTGACAAAGAGGGAAAGGTTCAACATTTTGATATTGCTAATAAGTGTGCGTGTCTTCCCCTAGCCATGGAGTTCCATGAGATGTTGCAGTCCATTGCAGTGAAGGAGGGGCTTAAAGGTCGTAAGGTCACCAGAGCTGTGGAAAGTTTCAGCTGGAACATCACCATACTGAAGGTGAATCTACACACTCACACACACTCACAGCAGACCAAAGACAACCACATACCACAGAACTTTGCCAGTCTGTTTCCACATTAGCCAACACCGACAAACCCCTCTCTCTCCTCCCCCTTCTCCCACTCTCAGGGGCAGGCAGACCTTCTGAAACGGGCTAAGACGGAGGTGCAGGAGAACATGAAGCAGGTACACCATGCTGCCATGACCTCTAACCTTAGTAAGGGCGTGACAGGAGAGGCGACCCGCCCCCGACGCAGCCTGGACGCCATCCAGGAGAGAGCTACAGCTCCGGCTAGAGGTTCCCCTTAGGTACAGGTCTAGGACCAACTTACCCGCCTCAAAATAGGGGAAATGTAAAATCTGACCTTAGTTCAGTTTCTAAGGGCACCCTCATCCTTCTCTGAGGATCAGCAGGTTGACTAGAACTGACAACCAAGTTGCTGATAGGCTCCTTCTGCATCTCGGCCATTTTCTCCACACAACGATGAAGAGGAAGAAGAAAGATGGACTAAAAACAATTGAAGAAAAATACTCCTGTTATAGCACTGTCAGGAGGGAGGAGTAACTTCGAAGACACTGGAGACAGGACTGTAGAGAGGAATGAAGTCAGAGACAGACAATCAGACTGCCCTGTCCCTTACACTGTATGCAGCTGTAAATAAGACGTTTTTAATCCTACTCTCTATGTGCAGTGTTTGTTATTTTTGGACCTGGATTCAATCTGTATAGCCAAGTTATCGCAGAAAATCCGTTTCTAAAATGTTAAGGTAATTTCCGATTGAGCCGACATACAGTTTGCAGCGAATGTAGTCTTCGCGACCGCGGGAACATTGCCTTTAAATTGTCAATCGCGCTATAAAGCGGCTCTTCAGCACTACGGATTCAATAGAGTCCTTGGTTTGTGTTTTTGTTGGGGGGGGAGTGGAGATGGCTTTCAGGGCGAACAAAACTGTAGAACAAAGTGAAACTGAATGAGAGAAAAGTGATAACGTATGTGTGTCAGGAGGCTGATTCAGAATGCGTGTGAAAGTGTGACTGCTACCAATAAAATAGCAGACGATTTTATCCAACGCGACTTACAGTAGTGCGTGCATACATTTTTTGTATGGGTGGCCCCAGCGGGAATCAAACCTACGATTCTGAAGTTGCAAACACCAACTGAGCCACTGAGATGTTTCAGCCTCTCCGGGTCCAGTGGAGCAAAATAATGTAGATGTGTACATAGAATTAGAATGAGTTGAACGGGCATCCCCATTCATGTCAATTATGCCGTAATGCACGTGTCAAACTCATTCCACGGAGGGCGGAGTGTCTGCGGGTTTTCGCTCCTCCCTTGTGGAACTCAACCAGACAGTGTTAATGACTAAACTGTATGATCAAAACTACATAACAGTATTTCCACTTCGCTTTCCATAGCACCTTGACCAATGCTTTTCTAGGTGGTTGTGTGTCACATTACAGTATTATGATTTTATCCTCATTCAGTAAAATTTTACTGGATTTTTACAAAATGGTAACTTCCGATCATTAAAAAACATTCCTGATACTGTTGGCTCCATTGTTTACCGTCAGATAGCGTGACGAATCTGTCTGCACTGAGCATCACGTAGACTCCACCTGTCAGAAGACAATTGTTGTCCTCTTGAAAACCTCATTTCACCTGATGCTATAAGATTACTTGTTTTATGGTAAATTGACATCAATTTCGCCTCCAAACCATATCCATTACATTTTCATTACCAGAACCAACCAGTAAGGAAATAAACCAGTTACTTCAATCATAAAACACTGCTTTTAGACACACACTGCTTTGACCATTCGCTGGACTCTGATAGCCAGCTGCCCACACATTCGATCATCAGAGACATAAAACCAGGGCCTGACAAAGAGAAGCCAAAGTATTGGATATCCACTGGCATTTTAAAATGTCATTTACAACAGTGGAGGCTGCTGAGGGGAGGACGGCTCATAATAAATGGCCAGAATGGAGTGAATGTAATGGTATCAAGTACGTTTAAAAAATACAATTGTGTTTGATACCATTCCTTTCACTCCATTCCAGCCATTATTGAGCCGTCCTCCCCTCAGCAGCCTCCACTTACTTAAAACACTGACCGGCAACACTATCGCCAAACACGCTAACAGTTGATTAACATTATTGTTTACCTTTCATTGCATGTTTTTAGTTAGTATTGCCAATTTAAATATTAGTTGTACTCACAATTCAGCATGTTGCTACCACTTGTACAATGTCCTGTTGAAAAACCATTCTCTCTATAAACATACCACCACAGCACTGGTATACTGTAGCAACAGCAATGCTTTTATTGGTCTAGAGTTAATCATATCTCTGCTGTAGGGACATCTCGTGTGCAATGCTTTACTTGGCTACCACAGGAAGCAAGAGAACTAAATACAAGGACATCAGAAATAATTAAATATTATTACATACATTTTCACATTGAATTGATCCCCCCCCCCCCCCCCCCCAAAAAAAAGAAGCCTGTTTCCATAATTTAATAATTTCACCTTGTAATGCAGCTGTATAGGGTTAATATTGTATCTTTAAACAAAAAGGTAAAGAAGAAGTGAGTCAGTTAATCTGTCAATGGTTTCCAGGCACTGGTTAATTGTAGGTAGAAGTTGCCTCTAACAACTGATAGAGGATCAGATATTGTACCATCCCCCCTAATGGTAGGTTGTAGGACTGGCGATTGGTTATGAGCAACTTCTACCTCGAAACAGTTAAAGGACAATCAAAGAGGAGCTGAATGGAGGCAAGAGACAAGAAAATATCTTTAGACACAGGCATTAGATAAAGACAGAGGTATGGGACAGACAGCTCCCCTACCTGGAGAAACAGGGTACTACCCTCCTCCCATTACAGACAGCTCCCCTACCTGGAGAAACAGGGTACTACCCTCTCCTCCCATTACAGACAGCTCCCCTACCTGGAGAAACAAGGTACTACCCTCTCCTCCCATTACAGACAGCTCCCCTACCTGGAGCAACAAGGTACTACCCTCTCCTCCCATTACAGACAGCTCCCCTACCTGGAGCAACAAGGTACTACCCTCTCCTCCCATTACAGACAGCTCCCCTACCTGGAGAAACAAGGTACTACCCTCTCCTCCCATTACAGACAGCTCCCCTACCTGGAGCAACAAGGTACTACCCTCTCCTCCCATTACAGACAGCTCCCCTACCTGGAGCAACAAGGTACTATCCTCTCCTCCCATTACAGACAGCTCCCCTACCTGGAGAAACAGGGTACTACCCTCTCCTCCCATTACAGACAGCTCCCCTACCTGGAGAAACAGGGTACTACCCTCCTCCCATTACAGACAGCTCCCCTACCTGGAGAAACAGGGTACTACCCTCTCCTCCCATTACAGACAGCTCCCCTACCTGGAGCAACAAGGTACTACCCTCTCCTCCCATTACAGACAGCTCCCCTACCTGGAGCAACAAGGTACTACCCTCTCCTCCCATTACAGACAGCTCCCCTACCTGGAGCAACAAGGTACTATCCTCTCCTCCCATTACTACATACAGAGAAGAGAAAGGCATTCCCCACACTGATAAATGCACTATGAATTCCAGTTCCTGAAGGTAGCCTGTGGTGATCTGTGTTGATCTGATCCTGTCGGGGCAGAAATGGGTATCACCGTTAAAGTAACTTGTCTCCAACTAGGGTTGGATAAGCGCTAACGCCCAAGCATACAGGAGTAGAGGCTATAGGCATAGGAGATATCTATGGTATTCATGAAGGAATACAGAGCAGGTTAGTGCAGGTAAGATGTCAGAGATGATAAGATAGAACAGGCAGAGGAGATTATAAGGTATTGGCGACTGCCTGACAGTAGGCTGCCATAGTCCAGTCTATGTGCAAATTTGACCCAGCAGTGGCGAGTTGGTTTTCCCCTGTGGGACAGCATATCCTCCAGGTTAGGATGAAGTTACCCCTTAAAGGCTGATCTAATGGTTAAGGTGGGGATTAGCGAGTAGATAAACATGATCCTAGATCTCTGGTTAGGGGTAACTCCCACCCAGATCAGTAAAGTCCCTCACAGGTCCTGGGGGTTGACAATAGTGAAGTCTGAGTCTTTGCTGTGAATGCTGCCCTCGTCTGGGCTGGAGGAGCCCGACGCTGCACCCATCAGGGGGTCCTGGAACGCCCCCACGCCCTCCGGCTCCACCGTGACCGAGCTGTGGAGCTGTCTATTTGGAGGGGTCCTCTCTGCCCCTCCCTCGGTGGGCTGCAGCTCTCCATCCTGCGAGACCAGGATGTAGTCGTCCCAGTTCTTCCCCTCCGAGCCCACACACAGAGAGGACTCTGGGGGAGACACCTGCATAAGGGAGACAAGGGGCTTGTTCAACACTGCTGTTGACTGGCTGATCTACAAATCACCTTCCATCATAAATAACTACTAGTATTATTTGTAGATCAGTCAGTCAGTCGCAATATACCCACAATGCATCATAGATTTGAAGCATAGGGAATGATACCAAAGTATGTGAGGATACACTGCAAATATGAGAGTATGTATTAATACAACCATGTGTGTTTTCACCTGTTGCTCTGGTGGCGTGTGCTCCCGTTCTTCCTCCTCCTGTTCTCCATCACCACGCTGTGGCGTGGCCAGGTAGGGCTGGTCTTCATGGTGACTGTTGGCGTGCTGCTGCTGTGCGATGGCGGCGGCATTGTCATAGTGGTGGTCAGCGATGGTGATCTCCTCATTCTCCTCTGCCTCCAGCAGGCTCTGGTTGAAACGCAGCGCCCCCTTCAGGATGTCCTTGATCTGACGGATTCATTCATAAATACAGACGTAACACACAGAGCAAGTCATGGTGAACACACACAGATGTACTGAGAACACATACACACACACCTACACCTACATAGACAATGTACACATGCACTTAATACACACGGTCAAAATGCTAACTCTCACTCAGAGAGGCGCAAACATGTGCACACACACACACACCTGTTGTGCTGCTGTCCAGTACCTGTTTGAGTCCAGCCAGTGACACCAACACCTCATCCTCTTTCTCCAGGTGCTCCTGTAGGATCACCTCCTGGATCTTACCTGATGAGACAGACATCAGATCACAGTCGCTGGCGACAGACTCAATTCTAAAATATACATAAAAACAATATTTACTCATTATTGTTAATTCGTTAAATCACCGGCTGTGTCTGAATATACCCATACTAGTGTACTACATACTTAAACTGCATACTATATACTCATTATCGCATACTATTTAGCACGTACCGTTTAGTAAAAGGTATGCAGTATGCCAAGGCCACAACGCAGTAGTGGCTCCTGACTGGATGAGTAGCTGGGGTGGGGCCGAGTGCGGGTAGATTTTTCCATATTCAACAGACATGCATTGCATCAACCAGCCTGATAATAGCTCATTTTCAATTCGATACATTTCTCTAAACTCTGAATCGAAGGGGAATGGCGTTATAGGCCTACTCAGGCTGGTTATAGACAGACTATCACATTCGACCTATACCGTAGCCCATATAGCCAGCCCATATATCCTATTTAAAAAAGGACTGAAGACAGAAACAGAATTTGGTTCCATTTCAACATAGCCTATTTATTAGTGAAACCAAAGTGCTGTAACATATATGAATTCAATTAAATAGCCTAGTACACACACTAAATATTTTCAAATGTTCAAATCAAAAGGCTATTGCACAGAAAAACTTGGACAGTCGGGTGCATCGCAAATCCAGAACCGCTGAACAGCAGCATAATAAACTAAAGCAGTGATCATTGGGAACGAGATCCTCCACATTCTGAAAATACCTCATGCGCGATTGCATAGTTTCCCGCTATGCGTTGATTTCATTAGCACATCCCCATATCTAATTGATCAGCTGTTGATTTCAGTAGCTTCTCCCCATATCTAACTGATCAGCTGTTGTCAAAGCCGAAATGAGTATGACATACGGGCATTTAAAGTATCCTCGATTTTTTCACATACTCAAACGGCCTACTATTTAGGACTCAAGTATGGGTATTCGGACACGGCCACTGTGTATTTATTCCTCGTGTCACTATTTGTATCTTCATCTTTAACTCTGCATTGTTGGAAAAGGACCCGTAAGGAAGCATTTCACTTCATCTTTAACTCTGCATTGTTGGAAAAGGACCCGTAAGGAAGCATTTCACTTCATCTTTAACTCTGCATTGTTGGAAAAGGACCCGTAAGGAAGCATTTCACTTCATCTTTAACTCTGCATTGTTGGAAAAGGACCCGTAAGGAAGCATTTCACTTCATCTTTAACTCTGCATTGTTGGAAAAGGACCCGTAAGGAAGCATTTCACTTCATCTTTAACTCTGCATTGTTGGAAAAGGACCCGTAAGGAAGCATTTCACTTTCACTGAAGCATGTGACAAATACAATTTCATAAAGCAGTAACACACAGACAGTAAACAAAAGCCTTTGTTTTAACCACACAACTGATTACACCTGTTTACTGGTTCAATCACTAGATTGTTCAAAACATCATCGTGGTTATAGCTCAACTCACAGGCTATAATTGGCACTCACAGATGTGTGTTGATACTTGATTTTCAATCTAACCACTGATGCGTTAGGGTCAGGTTTGTTAAACTCAATGTGCATGTTGATATATGTATTGGTAGATGGTCCCGTGTAGCTCAGTTGGTAGAGCATGGCACTTGCAACGGCAGGGTTGTGGGTTCGATTCCCACGGGGGACCAGTATGAAAAATGTATGCACTCACTAACTGTAAGTCGCTCTGGATAAGAGTGTCTGCTAAATGACTAAAATGTAAATGTGAATTTACCAATGTGTGTGTTCATCATCTTGGCACAGTACTTGCTCATGGCTTCTAGGTCATTGATCTGACCCTGCAGGAAGGACACCTGGGCCTCCAACTCCTCCTCCTTACACAACACAGAGGAGGACAACTTAAGAGTTAGAGAAAGAGAGGGGGTGGAGAGAGAGATTGCCAAAGTAAGTGAAATGGATAAACAAAAGTGAAATAAATAAAAAGTGAACAGTAAATATTACAGTTCCAAAATAATATCGTTACAACACTGTATATAGACATAATATGACATTGGAAATGTCTTTATTCTTCTTGAACTTGTGTGAGTAATATTTACTGTTCACTTTTTATTGTTTATTTCACTTTTGTTTATCCATTTCATTTGCTTTGGCAATGTAAACATATGTTTCCCATGCCAATAAAGCCCCTGGAATTGAATTGAGAGAGGGTGGAGTTGGAGAGACAGAGTTGGAGAGAGAGTTGGGGAGAGAGAGAGAGAGAGAGAGAGAGGGTGGAGAATTAGAGAGAGAGAGAGAGAGAAAGAGAGAGAGGAGAATGAGAGAAAGAGAGGAGAATTAGAGAGAGAGACCTGCAGAGAAAGAAAGATAGAGAGCGCGCACTACTCACGGCCTCTTTCTTGCCCATCATGGTCTTGCTGTGGGAGCGAGTGATGTTGAAGAAGGAGTCCTTCTTGGTGGCCGAGAGGGGTGGGGATGAGGTGCTGTTGTCACTTCCCCTGGAGACAGGAAGGGGCGGGGACGCTGTGGTGTGACCCTGTCCCCCAGAGAGACTCTCTATGCTGGGGGAGGAGCTAACTGTCCTGGAGGTTTGGCCTGAAAGAGAGAGAAGAGAACAGATTAACACAAAGACCGAAACAGACGAGGGCTGTGAGTAGCAGGAAGAAGAGAGACAGAGGGACCCGTCCAGTGAACCACTGTCCTGTTCAAAGCTCCTCAATGACATCTCCTACGTATGAGAGTGTCTGAGTTGAACTAGAGAAGACAGATGGACCCGTCCAGTTGTCACCAACCTTGTCCTGTTCTTACCTCCTCAATGTTCACATCTCCTCGACATATGAGAGTGTGTGATGACTGTATTCAGGTTCAATTTACTTACTGCACCGATGGAGAATGGCTCCGACTCAAAACAGTCTCTCTGGCTCCTGCTGTTGGTTGACTAGCAGTATAACGTGCATCTAAGGCAATATACTATTCAACTCTGGACTACCACACTTCTGCTGGCTTGTATCTTTCAGTGATTGATTAAGACCAGTGTGAATGTGGACCTTATGGATGATCAACGCCATTCACTGACTGATTAATTGGTTGATAAAGTAACCAGGAGGTGCTGTGATGCTCAGAGATCAGGGTTGAAATGAACTGGTGAAAGGGGAGACAAAAACACAGCAACATATGCACACAAGCAGTTGCTATGGTAGCAGTAACCTTGGGTGTCAGAGAAAATGTGGGTGGAGAGAGAGACCCGAGAGACTCCGCCTGAAACTACATCTAACAGACAGGAGGGTGACGGCTATCGCTCGTGCACACCACAGGAGGTTGGTGGCACCTTAATTGGGGAGGATGGGCTCGTGGTAATGACTGGAGCGGAATCATTGGAATGGTATCAAACACATGGTTTCCAGTTGTTTGATGCCATTCCGTTAGCGCCGTTCCAGCCATTATTATCAGCCGTCCTCCCCTCAGCAGCCTAAACTGGTGCACACACGTGTGTGTGTGTATATATATATATATATACACACACATACATACATATACACACACACACTTCATAGTTGATTATTGCTATTATACGCTTATGGGGCCATCAATCTTCTCTAAGATACTGGATGGATGGATGTGTTAGCGTCAATGTCATAGTATACCTGTTTGATTAAGAGTGTGTGAGTGTGTGATTCCAACCCTCACCTTTGCTCAGGTAGACTGGCATGCTCTCAGACTTGAGTAAGCGGTGGTGCTGGGACTGGGAGTGTGTCCGCGTCTGCAGGGGGGCGTGGCCAGAGGACAGGGGCTCGGCCTGGGAACGGGGGGCTGCAGTGAGGGGGGAGGGGGCAGACAGAACCTCGCTGTTGATTGGAGAGATACCGCTGGCTCCACCCGCTGACATGGCGGGGGCAATGAGCTTCCTCCCAAAGTTGAGAAGGCTGCTGGAGACCTTGTTGATGTTGAGAGGAGCCGTCTTGGCACTGGCACTGGCACTGGGGGGGGGGGGGAGAGATAGAGATAAAGAGAGAGACAGTGAGTGAGTGAGTGAGTGTGTGAGTGAGTGCCAAAGAGAGAGAGACGAAGAGAGAGATGAAGAGAGAGAGACAAAGAGCGAGATAAAGAAAGCAAGACAGTGAGAGAGAGTGAGAGTTAGTTTAGCAAGATATTGTGAACCAACAAAGTGCGTGTGTTTGTTTGTTACGATCATTGTCCCTCATGCTCGTGTGTGCGAGTGTGCCTGCGCGTGTGTCTGCTTACCGGGTGTTGTTGACCAGGTCCGCTCCTCTGGTCTTGTAATAGTCCAGATTCTGTTGGAACTGGTAGTTAGCTGGCCGAGGATTGTTCTAAAGGGAAAGGCATTGACAGTGAAAACAGCTCAGATTAAATAGTGACAAAATAAACACACAAAATAGTGTTGTGTGTGGGGTTGGGGGGGGGGGGGGGGTCATATGGTCCCAGATCTCTATGTGCTTTAGCCAACTACTCTGACTATCATTGTCATGCCACACTACAAACTAGAGGTCTTCACGGGTCCGGGTGAACCTGATATACCAGAGACCCGGCCAGGCCCGGTTCTGAAATTCAAACGTCATCTGGGTCGGTCCTGTTTGATTGTCATCAGGTCTCTGGCCTATGTAACAACAGCTGATAGACCCGAGTCGACCTGAGTGGACCCGACCACGGCTCTGCATAGACTACACCCCCCCCCCCATTTGTCTTGCCCATTCACCCTCTGAATGGCACACATAAACAATCCATGTCTCAAGCCTTAAAAATCCTTCTTCAACCTGTATCCTCCCCTTCATGTACACTGATTGAAGTGGATTTAACAAGTATGTCAAATGAGGGATCATAGCTTTCACCTGGTCAGTCTGTCATGGAAAGAGCAGCTCCCTCTCCCTCTCCCTCTCCCTCTTCCTCCCCCTCTTCCTCCCCCTCAGAGGTGTGTGTCGCTCTGAAATGTGTGTGAGCTCTAACCTTGGGATCTCGGAGGAACAGAGCCTTGTGTAGTAGGGTGTGGATGTCTCCTATAGGTGGGTAGTGCATTAGAAGGCCCAGACAGGTCTGGAAGTTACTCGCTATCACTGAGATGGAAACAACAACACAAACAGTTAGCAGGGCTCAATGACTGACTGACTGACTGGCAAGCTGGCTGACTGACTGACTGACTGGCAAGCTGACTGACTGACTAGCTGGACTGACTGACTGGCTGACTGACTGACTGGCTGACTGACTGACTGGCTAGCTGACTGACTGGCAAGCTGACTGACTGGCAAGCTGACTGACTGAGACTGGCAAGCTGACTGACTAGCGACTGACTGGCAACGCTGACTGACTGACTAGCTGATGACTGGCAAGTGATGATGACTAGTGACTGGCGGCAAACTGACATGACTGCAGCTGACTGACTGACATAGCTGACTGACAACTGACGCAAGTCGACGATCCTGAGTGACTGACTGGCAGCGACGACAGCTGACTGACGACGCACGACTGACTGCAAGCGTACTGACGGCAAGCGATGACTACTAGCTGGACCGACCAACCAGACCACCTCTATGACTGACTAGATGATTACATAGATTGATGCAGTGAGGAGGTCCTACAGCGTCTCTGATATAGAGCAGCATGCTACAAGACTACACCAGTCAGAGTGATGCTGTCAGCAAACAGGGCGTCCCACACCACCAACAGGTCCTGCAGGGGGAACTCACGGCCAAACAGCAGACGCACCCACCGACTAGAGATACAGACAGATACACACACACATTTAATAGACGCAAACACACATTAAACAGACGCACACACAAACACAGGTGGCGGTACTCACATGCCGTATATCTGCGGGGCGATCTCCAGGCGGTTGACGTGCATGTGCAGCTCCACATCATGCTTTTTCACCAGCTGGTCCTGGATACGGTTGACTTTGGTCACTATGGCAATGGACGGCCCCAAATCCTGCGGCCGGGCGAACGGCATGCTGGTCAGCATCTCCTCCTTCCCCTGAGGAGAACGTTCACACAGCGTTTAGATGACGTCAACACAACATTGGAATAACATTAACATAATATACAACGCTGGAATACGTTAGAATTAGCAACGTCATCAAAATTGTTCAAAGTTTTTAAAAACAATTCTAATAAATGCAACAGTTGAGTTGGACAATGGATAAAGATAGATTTTTAGGTATAAAACATTTTACTGGCACGGACAAATAATGAATATAGTTCAGGGATTTGTGGGAATTCAGGTATTCAATTTATTGTCAAATGTCAACAAAATAAATCTTAGAATGCACTCATTTATACATTTTCTAATAGTATCAGGTATTTTTATATTTTGTGTTAAAATAAAGAAACTTATATGTGCCTGTTTTGCATAAATACACTGGGTGTATATTTGCATATATTAATACATTAACATAAAGGGGTGGAACAGGGCTGCAACCACCCAAAAATGTGCTCTGTCTAGAAGGCCTACCTGTACTCACCTGTGCTGTCTAGACTGCTTCATTAATTACTGTTGTTGTGTGTCAATAGCAGGATACACTCAGATTAAAAATCAACACGCTTGGCTCCAGATTACACCCATTTATACATACTTTACATTATAGTTGAGATCAGACATAATATCACTATAATCAGTGTACATTTTTGGAAGTTGCTTTCAAATCAAATCAAATTTTATTGGTCACATGCGCCGAATACAACAGGTGCAGACATTACAGTGAAATGCTTATTTACAGCCCTTAACCAACAGTGCATTTATTTTAAACAAAAAAAAGTAAAAATAAAACAACAACAAAAAAAAGTGTTGAGAAAAAAAAGAGCAGAAGTAAAATAAAGTGACAGTAGGGAGGCTATATATACAGGGGGGTACCGTTGCAGAGTCAATGTGCAGAGGCACCGGCTAGTTGAGGTAGTTGAGGTCATATGTACATGTGGGTAGAGTTAAAGTGACTATGCATAAATAATTAACAGAGTAGCAGCAGCGTAAAAAGGATGGGGTGGGGGGGCAGTGCAAATAGTCCGGGTAGCCATGATTAGCTGTTCAGGAGTCTTATGGCTTGGGGGTAGAAGCTGTTGAGAAGTCTTTTGGACCTAGACTTGGCACTCCGGTACCGCTTGCCGTGCGGTAGCAGAGAGAACAGTCTATGACTAGGGTGGCTGGAGTCTTTGATAATTTTGAGGGCCTTCCTCTGACACCGCCTGGTATAGAGGTCCTGGATGGCAGGAAGCTTTGCCCCAGTGATGTACTGGGCCGTACGCACTACCCTCTGTAGTGCCTTGCGGTCGGAGGCCAAGCAGTTGCCATACCAGGCGGTGATGCAACCAGTCAGGATGCTCTCGATGGTGCAGCTGTAGAATTTTTTGAGGATCTGAGGACCCATGCCAAATCTTTTCAGTCTCCTGAGGGGGAATAGGCTTTGTCGTGCCCTCTTCACGACTGTCTTGGTGTGTTTGGACCATGATAGTTCGTTGGTGATGTGGACACCAAGGAACTTGAAGCTCTCAACCTGTTCCACTACAGCCCCGTCGATGAGAATGGGGGCGTGCTCAGTCCTCTTTTTTTTTCCTGTAGTCCACAATCATCTCCTTTGTCTTGGTCACGTTGAGGGAGAGGTTGTTGTCCTGGCACCACACGGCCAGATCTCTGACCTCCTCCCTATAGGCTGTCTCATCGTTGTCGGTGATCAGGCCTACCACTGTTGTGTCGTCGGCAAACTTAATGATGGTGTTGGAGTCGTGCCTGGCCATGCAGTCATGGGTGAACAGAGAGTACAGGAGGGGACTGAGCACGCACCCCTGAGGGGCCCCCGTGTTGAGGATCAGTGTGGCAGATGTGTTGTTACCTACCCATACCACCTGGGGGCGGCCCGTCAGGAGGTCCAGGATCCAGTTGCAGAGGGAGGTGTTTAGTCCCAGGATCCTTAGCTTAGTGGATCCATTTCAGCGCATCTTATTTGTAAACATTTCAACTGTATTAAATGATAACTTTTCTAAATTACACAAAAATGTACACCCATGTTATCTTTCTTCTCTTTCTTGTGATAGAAGTGTCGAGACGATGCGTTAAATCCCCAACAAAGCTTCAGCGTTCTTATAGATACAACGGAAAGACAATGTATTCCATTGAGCCCATTTCAGCCATTACCGGAGTGTTTTTGAAAGGTTATTACAAAAATAGCCTGTGAGTGTTACAACTTTTTCACGTAAAGAGAATATTAACAGGAGTACTACTACTGACCCTTGTGACTACCCTCTCGAAGCTGGAGAACCAGGGTTCTGCTGTCTCCATCAGCTGGGAAAACATGGCACTACAGAACAAAGACACACAGAGTCTCATGTTAGAAGTCTCACTCTCTGTGACCTGTCCATATTATTGCCATCACTTAGGACAGGGACGGGCAACTTTGATGGGGGTGGGGGGCCACAAAAAAACGTAACTCATCATGAGGGCCCCTACCCCCCCAACCATGCTTACTACAAGTTTAGGTCGTTGGCCGCTAGACTAACTTACCAATCTAAAAACATTTAGCCGACATGGGCTAATTGAGTGACTGCTGATACACAACCAAATTTCGAAATTGCATCTAGTGTATTCTTCTATTCTAACTCTCAACAGTAAGTTGAGACCCTGACTGAGTTCCTAAAAAAATACATAATAATAATAACAATATTTTGTGAAATGTGTCCGCGTGCCTACAAAAGGGGGGACCAGTAGGCCATCCCTGACCTAGGAGGTGAAGAATGTAGATGAAAGTAGAATGCATATTTCACTCACTAGGCGTCATGTTCATGGAACATGGGATTCAGTAGAGACATCATCTCCTCACTGTGGGCCAAAGACAAAAGCATTAGATCAACACATAGATCAATTTGGAAGAATGAACAGGATAGGGTTAAACTGAAGGGTAGGAAGTCGATGTGGAGTAGGAGTGCAGGTGTGACTGACCTGGGGTGGACGGTCTCACTGGCGTGCTGAAAAGCCTGATGGTCACAGTGTAGGACGAACACGATAGGAGCCAACAACTCATGCATTCCCTGCAGAAAGAGAGGGGGATAGAGAGAGTGAGTGAGAGGAAAAGGGAGAGAGAGACAGAGAGACAGACAGCGAGAGAGTGAGAGAGAGACAGAGAGAGTGAGAATGGCCTGTTTCTCTCAGGGTGATGCATGAGGTATGTTATCAGTATTGACAGAGCATCATTAAACTTCATTACCCAGTGGCCAGCCATGTGTCACTTCCTGTTAGAACACTGACTGGTCATCATCCTCTCTCCCTCTGTAGCACTATGTAGACAGTACACCGTCTAGTCTATAGGGTGCATTAGCATGCTTGATGGCATATCTAACACAGTGTGTGCCTGTATAAATCTTAACTAATGCTGTAATGGTACCTGTTTGTACAGTAATTGTTCATTCTCTCGGGCGTAACAGAACAAGATGTCTGTCAGCTTGGTCCTTACGTCCTCCTCTTGGAAGTAACGCATCTCAGGAAACCTACAGACAGAATAGAGAAAGAAGAGAGAGGGAGAGAAGAGAGGGCAAAAGGAGAGGGCGAAAGGAGAGGGAGAGAAGAGAGAGGGAGCGAGGAGAGAAGAGAGGGAGAGAGGAGAGGGAAAAGGAGAGGGAGAGAAGAGAGGGAGAGAGGAGAGGGCAAAAGGAGAGGGAGAGAAGAGAGAGAAGAAAGTGAGAGAAGAGAGTGAGAGAAGAGAGGGAGAGAAGAGAGGGCGAAAGGAGAGGGCAAAAGGAGAGGGAGAGAAGAGAGGGGGACAGGGCGAAAGGAGAGGGCAAAAGGAGACGGCGAGAAGAGAGGGAGAGAAAAGAGGGTGAGAGTGTTTATGTGAGAGGTGTACAGTAGACATGAGCATGACATTATTTGATAACCAGAGCTGTATTTAAAGGAGCAGTTGAGAAGATGTTAAATCAGACTCACGTTCTCATCACGTCCTGTTTGATCATCCCTCTCAACTCTTTGTCCTGGAAGAACTTGTTCCACAGGCTCTGGACAGGAGGGAGAGGAGAGCACAGGGACATATGGACCAGGAAATACACCACAGACCCATTCACCTAGCCTCCTATTACCAGACTGATTACAGAATGTTGTACGAGGTTACCATTCCCCATTGGTGTCAATACACAATTACACAATATAGGAACATATGGGTAAATACAAAAATAAAGGAAACACCAACAAAAAGTGTCTTAATAGGGCGTTGGGCCACCACGAGCTAGAACAGCTTTAATGCATCTTGGCGTAGATTCTACAAGTGTCTGGACCTCTATCGGAGGGATGCGACACCATTCTTCCACGAGAAATGTTGTTGATGGAAAACCCAGTCTCAGGCGCCACTCCAGAATCTCCCATAAGTTTTCAATTGTGTTGTGATCTGGTGACTCAGACGGACATGGCATATGGCTTACATCATTTTCATGCTCAACAAACCATTCAGTGACCTTTTGTGCCCTGTGGATAGGGGCATTGTCATCCTATGGGAGCATAGCCATGGAAGCCTAAATCATATCCAGCATTATTCTACATGACCCTAAGCATGATGGGATGTTAATTGCTTAATTAACTAAGGAACCACACCTGTGTGGAAGCACCTGCTTTCAATATATTTTGTTATCCCTCATTCCATTATTTTGGCAGTTACCTGTGCATTCGGAAAGTATTCAGACCCTTCACTTTTTCCACATTTTGTTACATTACAGCCTTATTCTAAAATAGATTCAATTGTATTTTTTCCCTCATCAATCTACATACAATACCCCATAACGACAAAGTAAAAACATGTTTTTAGAGATTTTTCCCCCCAAAAAACCCTGGAAATATCACATTTACATAAGTATTCAGATCCTTTACTCAGTACTTTGTTGAAGCACCTTTGGCAGCGATTTACAGCCTCAACTCTTCTTGGGTATGATGCTACAAGCTTGACACACCTGTATTTGGGGAGTTTCTCCCATTCTTCTCTGAAAATCCTCTCAAGCTCTGTCAGGTTGGATGGGGAACGTCGGTGCACAGCTATTTTCAGGTCTCTCCAGAGATGTTCGATTGGGTTCAAGTCCGGCCTCTGGCTGGGCCACTCAAGGACATTCAGAGAGTTGTCCCAAAGCCACTCCTGAGTTGTCTTGGCTGTGTGCTTAGGGTTGTTGTCCTGTTGGAAGGTGAACCTTTGCCCCAGTCTGAGGTCCTGCGAGCTCTGGAGCTGGTTTTCATCAAGGATCTCTGTACTTTGCTCTGTTCATCTTTCCCTCGATCCTGACTAGTCTCCCAGTCCCTGTCGCTGAAAAACATCCCCACAGCATGAAGCTGCCACCACCATGCTTCACCGTAGGGATGGTGCCAGGTTTCCTCCAGACGTGATGCTATGCATTCAGGCCAAAGAGTTCAATCTTGGTTTCATCAGACCAGAGAATCTTGTTTCTCATGGTCAGAGTCTTTAGGTGCCTTTTGGTAAACTCCAAGCAGGCTGTCATGTGCCTTTTACTGAGGAGTGGCTTCTGTCTGGCCACTCTACCATAAAGGCCTGATTGGTGGAGTGCTGCAGAGATGGTTGTCCTTCTGGAAGGTTTTCCCATCTCCACAGAGGAACTCTGGAGCTCTGTCAGAGTGACCATCGGGTTCTTGGTCACCTCCCTGACCAAGACCCTTCTCCCTTGCTCAGATTGGCCAGGAGGCCAGCTCTAGGAAGAGTCTTGGTAGTTCCAAACTTCTTCCATTTAAGAATGATGGAGGCCACTGTGTTCTTGGGGACCTTCAATGCTGCAGACATTTTTGCCTCGACACAATCCTGTCTCTGAGCTCTACAGACAATTCCTTCGACCTCATGGCTTGTTTTTTGCTCTGACATGCACTGTCAACTGTGGGAACTTATATAGACAGGCGTGTGCCTTTCCAAATCATGTCCAATCAATTGAATTGACCACAGGTGGACTCCAATCAAGTTGTAGAAACATCTCAAGGATGATCAATGGAAACAGGATGCACCTCAGCTCAATTTGGAGTCTCACAGCAAAGGGTCTGAATACGTATGTAAATAAGGTATTTTAGTTTTTTTATTATTAATACATTTGTAATGTAACAAAATGTGGAAAAAGTCAAGGGTTCTGAATACTTTCTGAATGCACTGTATATCATAATAAATGAATTATAAAAGTGTATTAATAAGTAGATATTTACAACAGGGACACCCCCTTAGTCCTGTGATATAGTTATTTAGACGTTTACATTCCCACTGTTATGGATAAGGAGTTGTATCTAGAGAGACTATGAGGCTACACTACACTTACCCCCTCGTCCTGTGAGAGTGGGTTGTTGACCACCAGGTCCTGCTGACCTGCAGCTTTACGGGGGTTGGTGATGTGCTGAGAGGAGAGGAGAGGCGGTCAGTGACTGGCACACACAGACATAGTAAAAAGTATGAGCTGACTCACACCCAAACACACACACGAGCAGGCACGGGAACAGGTGAACACATGGCGCGCACAAACACAACAACTCACCGTCTCTTTGATCCTCTCATACTGGGCTCGTAGCTCCTTGGTCTTGTTGATCCATTGGCTCTTATCCTCAGGAAGGACCTCCAGGTACAACTAGAAGACAACACACATGACTCACATGGTAGAAATACCTTCAGACACCCAAGAGCCATGTTTGTCTGTGACTGGTTTACCTTCCAGCACACACTGCGGAATCGGCTGCTCCGCAATCGACCGTTGATGCCTGCCTGCCGGATCCTGGTCAGGTAATTAGTGTTCAGAAACAAGTCATCCCATTCTTTCCTTCAGAGGGAGGGAGGGAGAGAGGGAGGTAATGGGAGAGATGAGAAGAGCTTTTAGTGAGTTTTCAACCTTCTCCAATTTATTTAATCTAATTTGGAATAAGTAGAGAATTAGATCTGCCTGTGACGTGGACCAAAACGTAAATCACACACACACACACACACCACTTCTTACCTGTAGGAGAGGAAAGTGGACTTAGACAAAGTGCTACTATCCAGAGATCCTCCTATAAAACATACATAAAAAAATTATTAACTACAAATGCAGCCACTAGGAGGCGATGTAGACACCAATGATGTGGATCATAGTGGCTCAGCTCCAACATAATGGATGTTAGAATACTTGTCAATGCATCCTTTTCTCTGACAGATTTCAATATACATACATTTCAATAGCATGTTTTCTTGTAGATATTAGGCAGAATCTACTGCACACCCAAAACCAGTAGTGAAGGTGCTGGAAGGAAAATGCTAAACTCTGACAGATTTCAATATACATACATTTCAATAGCATGGTTTCTACCACATGACTTTGACCAATTCGATCATGTCATCAGGAAAATGACAGATGAAGGTACTCAAGAGGCAAAAACAGAGCGAGTAAGAGGCAGGGAAGTCAAACCTAAATCATTGTAAATGAAAAAATAAAATGTATGCCCTGTGGAAAGAGCGTCTGCTAAATGACTAAAATGTAAATGTAAATGTGTAAATAATAACTAATTTGCCCTGCAGGTTAACACACACTTCTGGGAGCTGTCAATAATCATTAGTTACAGGAGTGTATCGTGTGACGTTGCTCTGGGGACACTCACTATGAATATTCATAAGCTAAACAAAACGCTAAACACACTTTAACCCTTCTTTTGCCCGCAGGCGTCATCAGCAATGTTCCCTCAGCTTCCCCAAGACTAACGCGCAGAAAGAAAATAACAGCCCGCGCAGAGACGCACGAGATTGAACTTCACTCAACTTTACAAGAGTTTGCCCTGTTACTTTACACTATCAACGTTTCACTCTACTGTGGAAATTGTGATCAAATCAACATAATATTAGCCCCTTTCAATGGAAAATACCGAAACAAAACTAAGGAAGACTTAGTGTGGGATTTTGTTTTAGGCAGAGAGCATCGTCGGAGGATTCTATTGCATTGACAGGCACAAGCGGTCGCGAGTAGATGCACTTGTTTTGAGATCAAAGCACAGAACCACATGTCGCTGCGCGTGCACATTTGTTCATATTCTTGGTTGGTTTCTTTATTCAAACAACATTATTTTCAGTCACCTCCTTGTCTGAGTGGATAACCAGGTTAATGTCAAGCACTGCATTTTTTCAAGGCCTACATTGAACACCACACATTGGCTGCTACTGTAGGTTGTGTCATAGAACATCTATTTCCATGTTAAAATGTTATGGGATGCATTTTCTCCAGTGTTCACAGTAAACGCACGCCGGAAGTTGCCGAGAATTTGCGCTCAGCAAACCTGAAATTCACTCACTGCCTGAAGAAAAATTGAGGGAACGTTGGTGATCAGCTGTATTAATGACTCACCGGTATACAATCCACTCCACCTCTCTCTCTCTAAACCTTTCTCCATCCATCTCTCCTTTTCTCTCTGTACCTCGCACATGTTATTCATTTTGTATGGTTATGAATAGGGCTGTGAATTGCCAGGGACCTCACAATACGATATTATTACGATACTTAGGTGCCGATAAGATATGTACTGCAATTCTCACTATTGTATGTGTATCGCGATTCGATACTGCGATTTTATTGCAATTTGATATTCCAAACATATTGCTCACTATATGTCTGCTGCAGAGAGACGAGAGAGCATGAGAAAATGAGTTTTGATCAGTCATGGAAATGAAAGTGCTGAAAACATGTTGGTTCACTATTTGAAAACAAGATGGAGAACAAGTTATACGATGCAAAATACCGTAGTTTTGGCACAGGTACAGCCGACTACCGCTAGCTAACATGACCTACAGTAGCAAAAAATTATAATATATATATATTTTACTAATCTATACTAGGAGTCAAATATCATTATAATATCATCCAGAAATAATGTTGTGATGAGTAACTGTCTCGACTTTTTCCCACATCACTAGATATGACTATGAAATGTTAATAACAGCTTAATTAAGCCTCAGAGATTATATAAAGGATTTATAACATGTTAATAAATCTTTAATGAATGTGTTGTAAATGTCGACTCACCACGGCTGCGATTCCTGTTGAAGTTGTGGAGCGGATCAAAACCAGTCTCCTGCTCTCCCTCTGGCTGGAGAGGGTGGTGGGTCTCAAAGTTAGGGTGCTGCATGACCACCCCCCAACAGAACCTGTGATGAGAACAACAGGAGGGTTTAGAACTACCCGTGTACCACCACAGAACAAGAACGAGTATTAACTCTTACAACACCACAGAACAAGAACGAGTATTAACTCTTCAACACCACAGAACAAGAGTAGGATGCAGGGATTTTTCTGCCATAGAAACCCTTGGGCAGGCCGCCCAAGTCCACACCCAAAAAATATATATAAGATAATGGACCTATATCATTTTGATAAAAATGATCTTTGAGCACTAACAATCACCAAAATAAAAAGCTAGACAGTCAGGGAATAGAAAATTCCCAAAACAATATTATTTAATAGTATTGATTTTGTTATTAAACGAAAATATCAAGATTTCTCAAGTTCATATTCATTATCTCCAGCACCAGCCCAACATCACTTTAAAACTGCAACATGTATCTCGGCTCCAAGAAAAAATTCGGAGAATTGCAGGAAATTGGTTTAAAAATGCTAAAACAAAAATAAAATTCAGCTGCCCCGGCCACGCCCACCACCTAAGCCCCTTTTTGATCCAGAAAAAACCCTGAGATGACTGTAACAGCAAAACATACCATAGAGTAAGAGCAAAACTGTACACGACAGAGCTAAAACAGGAGGATTTATCTGATAATAGAAAGAGTGGGAGGAAGTTTAGTAGAACAATTAAAAACGGAACAAAACAGTATAAAATGGGAATACTCTTATCCAATTAAGCTTCAGGCCTAGGCTTTTTTGTCTTTGTTCCATGTCAGTACTTACAGTCACAACAATGTGTTTCTCCTCAGCTTAGACTCACGACAGATGAAGGCTTATCTGAGAGAAACAACACAGAGGGACAAACAGAAGAGAAATCAAAGATAGAAACAAAGAAAAGCAGTCTTGGTATTTCTCTCTATCCCTGGGTACAGATACCACCAAGGTAATTCAACACAACACCAGTGAAGGGAATTCAACAACACTAGTGAAGGGAATTCAACACAACACTAGTGAAGGGAATTCAACAACACTAGTGAAGGGAATTCAACAACACTAGTGAAGGGAATTCAACACAACACCAGTGAAGGGAATTCAACACAACACCAGTGAAGGGAATTCAACACAACACTAGTGAAGGGAATTCAACACAACACCAGTGAAGGGAATTCAACACAACACCAGTGAAGGGAATTCAACACAACACCAGTGAAGGGAATTCAACACAACACCAGTGAAGGGAATTCAACACAACACCAGTGAAGGGAATTCAACACAACACCAGTGAAGGGAATTCAACACAACACCAGTGAAGGGAATTCAACACAACACCAGTGAAGGGAATTCAACACAACACCAGTGAAGGGAATTCAACACAACACCAGTGAAGGGAATTCAACACAACACCAGTGAAGGGAATTCAACACAACACCAGTGAAGGGAATTCAACACAACACTAGTGAAGGGAATTCAACACAACACCAGTGAAGGGAATTCAACACAACACTAGTGAAGGGAATTCAACACAACACCAGTGAAGGGAATTCAACACAACACCAGTGAAGGGAATTCAACACAACACCAGTGAAGGGAATTCAACACAACACCAGTGAAGGGAATTCAACACAACACCAGTGAAGGGAATTCAACACAAGACAACACTAGTGAAAGAGGAACTGATAGATCTGATGACTGAGTTTGTTCCTGCATGGAGTTCAGGCCACTGTAATGTGTGCTGAGTGGCTTTGGAACATTACTGACATAGCCTACACTTTAATAAAACAGATTGGACAAGAACAAGAGAAGTGGAAAATAACATTATGTGTGCAAATGAAAAAACAACATACTAATCACAGAGTGACTTCCATGGAGAAAGAGGAGGGGATAGGGATAGAACCAGGGAATGTTCAGACTGACAGCTCTATGTGGGCTACATCGCCATGGAAATCAGGCTAACTACTGTAAAGTCCTACAGTACCAAAAGAAAAGACAACTAAAAGATAAGGCCATCATTGTAAATAATAATTTGTTCTTACAGTGAGGGAAAAAAGTATTTGATCCCCTGCTGATTTTGTACGTTTGCCCACTGACAAAGACATGATCAGTCTATAATTTTAATGGTAGGTTTATTTGAACAGTGAGAGACAGAATAACAACAAAATAATCCAGAAAAACGCATGTCAAAAATGTTATAAATTGATTTGCATTTTAATGAGGGAAATAAGTATTTGACCCCCTCTCAATCAGAAAGATTTCTGGCTCCCGGGTGTCTTTTATACAGGTAACGAGCTGAGATTAGGAGCACACTCTTAAAGGGAGTGCTCCTAATCTCAGTTTGTTACCTGTATAAAAGACACCTGTCCACAGAAGCAATCAATCAATCAGATTCCAAACTCTCCACCATGGCCAAGACCAAAGAGCTCTCCAAGGATGTCAGGGACAAGATTGTAGACCTACACAAGGCTGGAATGGGCTACAAGACCATCGAAAAGCAGCTTGGTGAGAAGGTGACAACAGTTGGTGCGATTATTCGCAAATGGAAGAAACACAAAAGAACTGTCAATCTCCCTCGGCCTGGGGCTCCATGCAAGATCTCACCTCGTGGAGTTGCAATGATCATGAGAACGGTGAGGAATCAGCCCAGAACTACACGGGAGGATCTTGTCAATGATCTCAAGGCAGCTGGGACCATAGTCACCAAGAAAACAATTGGTAACGCACTACGCCGTGAAGGACAGAAATCCTGCAGCGCTCGCAAGGTCCCCCTGCTCAAGAAAGCACATATACAGGGCCGTCTGAAGTTTGCCAATGAACATCTGAATGATTCAGAGGAGAACTGGGTGAAAGTGTTGTGGTCAGATGAGACCAAAATCGAGCTCTTTGGCATCAACTCAACTCGCCGTGTTTGGAGGAGGAGGAATGCTGCCTATGACCCCAAGAACACCATCCCCAACGTCAAACATGGAGGTGGAAACATTATGCTTTGGGGGTGTTTTTCTGCTAAGGGGACAGGACAACTTCACCGCATCAAAGGGACGATGGACGGGGCCATGTACCGTCAAATCTTGCGTGAGAACATCCTTCCCTCAGCCAGAGCATTGAAAATGGGTCGTGGATGGGTATTCCAGCATGACAATGACCCAAAACACACGGCCAAGGCAACAAAGGAGTGGCTCAAGAAGAAGCACTTTAAGGTCCTGGAGTGGCCTAGCCAGTCTCCAGACCTTAATCCCATAGAAAATCTGTGGAGGGAGCTGAAGGTTCGAGTTGCCAAACGTCAGCCTCGAAACCTTAATGACTTGGAGAAGATCTGCAAAGAGGAGTGGGACAAAATCCCTCCTGAGATGTGTGCAAACCTGTTGGCCAACTACAAGAAACGTCTGACCTCTGTGATTGCCAACAAGGGTTTTGCCACCAAGTACTAAGTCATGTTTTGCAGAGGGGTCAAATACTTATTTCCCTCATTAAAATGCAAATCAATTTATAACATTTTTGACATGCGTTTTTCTGGATTTTTTGTTGTTGTTGTTCTGTCTCTCAATGTTCAAATAAACCTACCATTAAAATGATAGACTGATCATGTCTTTGTCAGTGGGCAAACGTACAAAATCAGCAGGGGATCAAATACTTTTTTCCCCTCACTGTAACTGACTTGCCTAGTTAAATAAAGGTAAAAAAATATATATACAAAAATAAAGACAACTAAACTATAAAACGATAAAGAAAAAAAAAGACAACTAAAAGATAAGCCGATAAATAAATAAATAAAAAGTCAAATCATGACGTTTCACATAACAACAATACAATGATAGGACATTGAGCAGCTGCATTCCAAAACTAGCCTAAACCACGACGTCTTTCATCAAAAGACACCAACGTCTTATATCGTCCGCAATAAACCATGTTGATCTTATTTAGGTTAAACTCCTCCTCTCTATTCTTTATCATGGATAGGCCTCTTCCATAGTTCTAAATGTGTGCGTGTACACACAGGCTAGGCCTAGTCTACATACCACACGCTTCCTTCCACTGCGGCAGCCAACTCATTATGTATGTTCCTTTATTAATTATGGAAATCACCCTTACAAAAGGCATCTCCTTAAACCCATTAACGAGGCGCATGGAACCCGGCTTCGATAAATCAGCCGTGCACGCTACCAAAATAAATAATTGTATATGCATAATGCATGCTCCCGTTTCCCTCGGCAACATCTGTTCCTCACAAAGACTAATGCCTTCTTTAAGTCATTTGAGTTTTTTTTCCCCTTTTAAAAAGACATCATCCCATTAAATAATTAGAACTAATCTGCAACGAGAGAGAGAGAGATGCTGTCAATAGGTAAATAATAATGCATTGCATTTCATCATTTTGAACTAGAACGGATTCTGAAAAATAGTTTAACATGTTTCAGACGTGCCTGATCATCTAGTTCCTCAAACTATGACTGCCCACTGTCAGGACATGGGCTATGTACGTTTCATGTCAATTCAAATTTTACAGAAGAAGAATCTGAACATGCAAGTAACACAAGCTACTAGCGGTGCAGCAGTTTCAGCATCTCAAGGTCCTCTGTAATAATGTAAAATGACTGGGGTAATCTTTAATGGCCCAATAGAGACCTACCAAACTATTATTAGGGGGGGGGGGGGGGGGGGGGGGGGGTACCAATCTCAATATTTAGACATTTAGAAATGTAACAACTATACTGAACAAAAATATAAACGCAACATGTAAAGTGTTGCTCCTATGTTTCATGAGCTGAAATTGAAGATCCCTGAAATTTTCCATTTGCACAAAAAGCTTATTTCTCTCAAATGTTATGCACAAATTTGTTTACATGCCTGTTAGTGAGCATTTCTCCTTTGCCAAGATAATTCATCCACCTGACAGGTGTGGCATATCAAGAAGCTGATTAAACAGCATGATCATTACACAGGTGCACATTATGCTGGGGACAATAAAAGGCAACTCTAAAATGTGCAGTTTTGTCACACAACACAATGCCACAGATGCCTCAAGTTTTGAAGGAGAGTGCAATTGGCATGCTGACTGCAGAAATGTTCACCAGAGCTGTTGTCAGAGAATTTAATGTTCATTTCTCTAACATCAGCCGCCTCCAATATTGTTTTAAATAATTTGGCAGTACATCCAACCGGCCTCACAACCGCAGACCAGGTGTAACCACGCCAGCCCAGGACCTCCACATCCGGCTTCTTCACCTACGGGATCGTCTGAGACAAGCCACCCGGATAGCTGATGAAACTGGGTTTGCACAACCGAAGAATTTCTGCACAAACTGTCAGAAACCGTCACAGGGAAGCTTATCTGCATGCTCATCATCCTCACCAGGATGCCCACTGGCATCGTCACCGACTTCAGTGGGCAAATGCTCACCTTCAATGGCCACTGGCACGCTGCAGAAGTGTGCTCTTCACGGATGAATCCCGTTTCAACTGTACCGAGCAGATGGCCAATTATCGTGGTCACACCAGATACTGACCGGTTTTCTGATCCACGCCCCTACAAAAAAAAAAAAAAAGGTATATGTGACCAACAGATGCATATCTGTATTCCCAGTCATGTGAAATCTATAGATTAGGGCCTAAATAATTTATTTTAATTGACTGATTTCCTTATATGAACTGTAACTCAGTAAAATCTTTGAAATTGTTGCATGTTGCGTTTATATTTTTGTTCAGTGTAGCATGTGTTGCTAATATGACTAGGATTGTGTCCATGGCTACTGGACAATGAAATAAAGTTTTTTGAAAACCAATAGAGAAATAGCCTACTGGTTTCAATGGCATATGAGGAAGTGTTTATAAAATAATTCCCTCGTAA